AACATTCTGATTTAGTTGATTTAGTAGGCTAGTTGATTTAGTTGATTTAGAACATTTTGATTTATTTGATTTAGTAGGCTAGTTGATTTAGTTGACTTAGAACATTTTGATTTAGTTGATTTAGTAGGCTAGTTGATTTAGTTGATTTAGAACATTTTGATTTAGTAGATTTAGTAGGCTAGTTGATTTAGTTGACTTAGAACATTTTGATTTAGTTGATCGTTAATCCTTTGCTCATATTGTTTTAGGAAAAATGGCGCCACCACCACCACCACTATGTCGACTGTGCAAGTCAAGATGCGCCAGCAGCCTTGCAACTGGCAAGCTGTTCGGCATCTACTTCCAGCCGAGTTTTCGTCATGCGACGGTAAGAAATTAGATGAAATGTAATAACTATTTTATTTTTAGTGTTGGCATTATTGCATTGTGTCATTTTGCTTATTTTACACAGATCGTCCCATGCAATGTGAGGTTGAAATTCAACAAGCTGACAGGAGACACTGTGACCTTTGAGGCTCCTGGGGGGCCGTACACTATGGAGGTCGAGAAAGGACGCAATATGTCGCAGATTGGAGGAGATGGATGGGCCCGTTTCGTCGCTCGCATGCGTCTTACTGGTGGTGAGTTGATCAGCTTCTCCTTCCGAGCAGAAAGACCCAATCTAGCTGTCATTTATCTCAACCTGGTGGAAGATGATGAAGATGACGAAGATGATGAAGATGATGAAGATAATGAGGATCCACTCGATGAAGATGATGAGGACCCACTTCATGAAGCCATCGTAGCTCAAAGAACAAGGCTGAGTGAGGAGGAGGTGTCCAACCTGTGGGACATAATTCCGCCACGTGCTGACTTTGTCGGGGTGCCATTCGTGACCCGCTTGACAAATACCATAGTTGATCGACATGATATGGTATGTTATACTTACAAATGCAAATTATCCGATGAATTACTTAGTGTACAGTCCAATGATATGTTATGTTGTGTGGAATCTAGTCGATGATATGTTTTAGTGTAGAGTTCGATCACATGCTTATTAGTGTAGAATCTAAGAAAACTATTGATAGTGTAGATAATCCATATGTACTTATTTGCGAAGCTATTTATTAATCGATATGTTTTTCTTATTCAGAAATTGGCAAAGAGCATATCTGTGAGTTATGGTATCGAGCCTGATGAAGAAGGCTTAGCTGGACTACGCCTTACTGCAAGGGGCTCCGTCACAACCCGTACTTGCCGAGTGGACACGAACGGTCGCACACACTTAAACTCGGTTGGGTGGAAGAAATTCCTCGATGGCAAGAATCTTTGTGTTGGACATGCCATCCTAATTACTATCAGGAACACCAACCGCCCAGGCTTGAGGATGATGATTGTCTTCGATATCATCTAGAACTACATATGTGTGTGTGGCTATATCATCTAGAACTACATATGTGTGTGTGGCTATATCATCTAGAACTACATATGATGATCGTCGTCGATATCATCTAGAACTACATATGATGATGGCCGTTGATATGACCTTGTACTGCTTGAGGATGCATGTTGACTATGCATGAAATTGTTATCTGGTACTCCCTTCGTTTCAAATTACTCGTCGTGGTTTGAACTAAAACCACGACGAGTAATTTGGAACGAAGGGAGTACTACCTAGTAATGGTTTATGAATTTGATATCTACTAGCAGTACCTAGTATCTAGTATCTGAAAGGGAAACTGAAAGGTAAAGGGATACTGGGAAAATGATGAAAGATATAGCAGTAGCGAGGGATAGCGAAATTGCTACAGCTAGGTAATAGTAGCGCGTTCTTAAAAAGTGCTGCTGATATCGTCAACAGTAGTAGCGCGGGTAAGGGCCGCACTACTACTATGAGTTAGCTGTAGCGCCTTATTAGTAGCGCGGCCACCAGCGCTGCTGCTAGCCTCAAAACCCGCGCTACTACTAGGGTTTTCCCTAGTAGTGCTTCCAAGCAAGCCAACCCGCCTTGATCATTCTGATATCGCCCATTCCATTATCTCTCGTACTTGCATTAGATTTTGCTAATGTACTTGATTGCTCCTATCTGATGCATAGACTGCTTTTGTAACCTTCTCTTGTACCATACCTACTTATCCTAAACCGCCTAGTATAGGTTGGTTAGTGATCCATCAGTGACCCTTCACCTTGTCCTTGTTGCCCCCGCTGGATTACTAGATGACTCGATCAACGTGATCGACGTCGTGAGCCCAACACATCACATCCCCCCCCCCTTAGTTGTACGACTCTGCAGAGCTACTATCGAGTGCCGAGGGTGATACCTCATATAACACTTATGATGTTAACTTTGTAGTGTAGCTAATCGGTCGTGGTCTTCGAGGGTGATTCCTCCTTCACCACTCCTGATAACGACTCTACGTGCAACCCCTCAAGTGTGAACCATCGAGGGTAATTCCACCAAGTCCACCTTGACGGTTACATTGAGTGGGAATCCATTGAGGGTGATTCCTCGGGTTTCTCCTTTGGTATTTTGGACACACGGTTACTTTGAATTTACCACAGAACCATGTAACTGAAGTCAGGTCAGCCATGAGGGGTACCCGCGAGTTGATGTGTAGTCGGGTTGATCTGGAGGATACCCGCGAGCTTTCCACGCGGCGCGGCCGGGCATTACTAGCCCTTGCCACAAGTCGGTGAGACGGGGCAACGGGACCACATATCGTGGATCATTGATCGTTACCGCACGCTCCCAAGTCACTAACGAGATTGGGTATTTGATCTGAGTTGGCCACTGGCCTATATGCACTAACCACCACGCGGGAACAATTATGTGCACTCGGCGTCATAGTATTAGCCGAAGCTTTCTAGATGTCAGCGACTGAGCGGCACGCGCTGGGTTGGACCGTGTAAAGCACCCTCCTTTGTAATGGAGGCTGCCAGGTCTGCTCACCGGCCACGTACGCAACGTGCAGGCGTGCAACGGGCGATGGCCCCAAGACCCCTGCGCACATAGGATTTAGACTGACGTGCTAACCTCTCTATTGGGCCTAGGTAGGGCTGCGACGTGTTGATCTTCCGAGGCCGGGCATGACCCAGAAAATTGTGTCCGACCAGAGTGATCGAGCGTGTTGGGTAATGTGGTGCACCCCTACAAGGAAGTTAATCTATTCGAATAGCCGTGTCCACTGTAACAGGACGATCCGGAGTTGTATTTCGATCTTTACAATTAGAACTGGATACTGAGATGTGGAATTGATATGATGGCTCCGGGATTGCTTTCTCGCAGGGAGTCGAGAAAGGATCTCTGGGCGTTAATGCTACAACATGCTTTCTAATTATAAAATCTTATTATGTACTCTTCGAAATGCTGCAACATGGTGGCTTCAAGAAGATGCTAGTCTTCGATTGGCTAGGCTTTCTCCTCTATTCTGGTATTCTGCATTATAGTCCACATTTACGGCCCCTTCCTTTTGATACCAGTGCATATGTAGTGTAGATCCTTGCTTGCGAGTACTTTGGATGAATACTCATGGTTGCTTTCCTCCCCTTTTTCCACCTCTTTCCATTCTTCTCGGATGTTGCAACCAGATGGTGGAGCACATGAGTCAGATGCTACCGCCGCCGACTACTACTACCCCGACGGAGCTTACTACTACGTAGAGGCCGCCGACGAACAGGAGTAGTTAGGAGGATCCCAAGCAGGAGGCCTGTGCCTCTTCGAGCTGTATCGCTGTTTGTGCTAGTCATGTCGTCTTGTTTAACTTTATGTCTCTACTTAGATATTGTTGCTTCCGCTGACTCATCAGTGATCGAGCTTATGTATTTGAGCCCTTGAGGCCCCTAGCTTGTAATATAAAGGTTGTATTATTTTATTTGTGTCTAGAGTTGTGTTGTGATATCTTCCCGTGAGTGCTTGATCTTGATCGTACACATTTGCGTGTATGATTAGTGTACGATTGAATCGACGGCGTCACAATTACTTCTATCGAAATTGGAGATTCCAAGTCTATGGAAGGATAGTTCTCTGACCGCAGGCGTAAAGGGAGTCTGATTAGCTATCTGTGGTTGTGTAGATGCTTTGAGACCGGTTTAAGGCGTCTGTTTGAGTAGCTTACTTTTGACGGTCAACGATCGGGCCGTCCGCTCAGGTGTTTGAGGGCTTGTGGTTGGACGAAATACACACTGACCAAGCTGTGGTTGAACCGCTAGGTGAACAGTGGTATCTCAGCCTACCAGGTTTCAAGTTCCGGTGCTCGTATTTATGTGCCGGCTGAGTCTATTTCGAAGGTGCTCATAGGGGTAGTGTGCGTGTATGTGTTTATAGGGATGAGTGTATGCGTGTGTATATCAGCGATTGTGTATATATTGTGTTAAAAAATGACGAAATACATACCATGATTTGAACACGACCATGTTCATGCCTTTGCATCTTTCATCTCCGGCATGGTGGACCAAAAGTGGCCTGTGCTGGGCAGTGTCGTGAATGAGTGGGTGCATGCACTCACATGGTAGAACAGTGAAGTGCACCAGTGCCAGTACATTTGCCCATGTGATTCCTCTTTTCTCTCCGCCCGCAGACTCGTGGGGTCTTCCTCCATTTTCGCACGGCCATCTTCTCCTTCCCCTCAACTTCTTCTCCGGCGACGGCGCCCATCCCACTCTTCCCGTCTGCTTCTTCTCCAGCAAGGGCGCGTGCGGCGATTCCTTGGTCGCCCCGTCGCTGCCTCCCAGCAGAGGAAGGTAACACACGACACGATGGCTTAGCTAGTGCTATATTCGTATTCTGCCATAGATCTAATCAGGGGATCTCATTGTTTCCCCACACCATTTCCTTAGATGCTTGCTCTACTGTGCTGAAGGAGAAAAAGTCCCAAGTCTTTACCGATAGATATTATTTTTTTCTCTGTTTCTTCCACCCATGGCTAATGAACAACACTGAATGATTGATCATTGTTCAGCAGAATAACACTTGTATCCAGATTCCGGAGTGGATCAGGGGGCCGTCATCTCCAAGGCCAGAGATGACCGACGGTGAACAAGATGGCAACGAACTTGTTGCCCTGGAGAAGGCGTTGCTGGACCAAAGCGTGTATACAGCAAATCTACCTTTCTCGCTGCTCAATGACATCACAGGGAATTTCTCCGATGCGCGTGAAATCGGCAGGGGCGGGTTCGGAGTGGTTTACAGGGTACACAAGCAACAAAATCCTCTGCTCTAAATTTAATTAACTGGAATCAAAATATGCAAATCATCCTCTGTTAGGCTGACATGCACGATTCCATGTGAGGTGCAGGGAGTGCTTCCAAGTGGTGCTACCATTGCCGTGAAGAAGCTCCATGAGACCTTCGAGATCCTGGACAAGAATTTCAAGAGTGAGGTCGACTGTCTTGTCAGGGTCAAGCACGAGAACACGGTGCGATTCCTCGGGTACTGCTGTGAGACGCGGCAGCTGTTTATCCCGCTTAACGGAGACCTTGTCTGGGCAAGCGTGCGGGAGAGGCTGCTCTGCTTCGAGTACCTGCCAGGGTGCCTTGCAGACTATCTCTCCGGTAGAATAACATCTGCCTTATACCTTTCCTTGCCTTTCTAGTAGTATATTCTAGTGCTTGTCTACCGACTTTAATCCGAAGTACTCCCTCTGTCCGAAAAAACTTGTCACAAACTTGTCGTTGAATAGATGTATCTAGCACTAACTTGATGTTAGATACATCCATTTGAGGGACAACTTTTTTCAGACGGAGGGAGTAGTATTTATTATTGTTTTTCCACTCCTATGAGCTTTTCAATTTTTTTGGAAACAAAATTGTAGTTTGAGCTCTCTTCTTATACCACTACAGAAATATGCACTCTTATATTTAGGCATATTTTTTTCGTCTCTCATCCTCTTTGCATCTGAGAGAAGATTGCACTAACCAATTTGTAAGGAAAACATAAGTGCTCGTTTCTGCTGTCGATATACCTTAATCAGGTGACCAAAAGAAAACACCGATCATCTCAATCTGCCAAGACAATAAATATGTCGGCAAGTCCACATCTTCGCACCTGAAAATTAAAATAAAATAGTGGTTACTATGTTGCCAATTGTCACACCCACACTTTGACAGTGAAATTAATAGGTGTTTTGGAGAACTTTGTTTGCACTTGTTAGTATATTGCCATTGCAAATAGGGCAATCCATAAACTAGGACCTTTTTTTTTTCATTGGACTACTTTTCCAACGGGATAGTACTAACTATTTGTCACACTGTATACTCTCCACAGATGCATCCCGTCGATTGCAGTGGATCACGAGCTATCAAATTATCAAGGGGATCTGTGAGGGCGTAAATTATCTACACCAGCAGCAAATTATTCACATGGACCTTAAGCCTCAGAATGTACTATTGGATGATAATATGATGCCCAAAATTGCGGATTTTGGTCTATCACGGCGTTTAAGTGAAAGCCAGAGTCGGGATATTACTAAAAACAAGTTTGGGACGATGTAAGCTAGCAATTATCTTTGAGAACTTGATGTTCTGTTGGTAATCTATTAAAAAAATTACATACACTTTATTCACTAATTGAACAAACTTTACCAATTTTTATGCAGGGGATATATGGCACCAGAATTCAGAACTAAAGGAGAAATCACCTTCAAGACAGATGTATATAGTTTGGGTGTTATAATAATGAAGATCCTTATGGTACATAAGGAATGCTCCAATGTTGAGGAGGTAATTATATTATATACGAGGTTCTAAAGAAAACATTGTAGACAACATGTTTAGCAGAAACAATAATGTTGTTAAACAAAAATGCAAGGTATACTCTGTCGGAGTATCTAATTAACAGTCGGATTCGCAAATGATAATATGTGAATATTGTCTTTGTACCTATCTTCCGCACACACAAAAAAGACGTAAGATAAAGATGGTTCTAATTTCTAAGGTCAATAAAATTAATAATACTAAAATTATCAAGTGAGAAATTCGAAATTGTTTGTGATAGGTATCCTTGCATTCGGTCTTTAGTCCTAAATCAATACGCCTGTATGTTTTTGTTTTCCTATTCTGAAATGCAAGCCGTCCTTTTTTGTACACTTGGTTGTCCAATTAGCAGGTAGTTGAAAGTTGGACGAACAAGTTTGGGGCCTCACTGGAACAAGTAAAGGCATGTGCTGAGATAGGGATAAAATGCATGAACCATGATCCAGAGATCAGGCCTGCTACACGGATTATCCGTGGAATGCTGGGTGAAGCAGAAATTTCAAACTGGTCTGTTGCAACTGATGTGTCTACCTCCACGCAAGGGCAGGTACAATTACTCAACAGTAAACGTATATGGTCAACTAGTAATTATCTAATGATTTCGCATAACCTTAGTTCATTTTTGTTGCAGATAAGCATGGCCTCCAAGCTAGCGGATGGGATGAAGTTGATGGATGATTCTGTTGCACCATCCCAACTGCAGCCATCAGCAGTGTATGTGGAGCCGGAGGATGGCAAAGTGAACCGAGAGAGAAAGGGGAAGGCGGCAACCGTGAGTGTGATGAGCACCCTGAGTGGCGAGCTTACCACGTTCATGGGCGATGAATACAATAAGCTCAAAGAGACGAGGAAGCAGGTGTCCTTTCTCGAGAAGGATTTGAGCACTATAAAGAATGACCTTGAGCCGCTAGAGCTCAAGGATGAGCTCCCTTCAGGGGTAAAAAAATGGAGGGACGATTTAAAGGAGATTTCTTTTGACATGGAGGATTGCATTGCTGACTTCATGCAACAATTTGGAGGTGAGGATGTTGAGTTGGGCTTCACTGGTGGGGCTGCTGAAACCCACGCGAGGTTGTGTGAGCTTCATCGGATTGCCAACCAGATTGAAGAGCTTAAGACCCTTGCGGTAGAAGCATGTGCTCGACGTGAGAAGTACAAGATTGATGACTTCAAGCCTACCTATGCATCTGTGGCTCTCGACCCTCGGCTGCCAGCGGTCTACCAGGAGGTTACCAGCCTTGTGGGCATTGACGGCCCAAGGGAGGAGGTTGCCAATTGGTTGATGGATCCTGAGAGAAAACTTAAGGTTGTATCTGTTGTAGGTTTTGGAGGTCTGGGTAAAACTACACTTGCCAAACAGGTGCTTGAAAAGATAAGGGGGGAATTTGATGCTGTGGCGTTTTTTTCAGTTTCACAGAAACCTGATATCAGTGTGCTTCTCAATCGCCTACAACTAAAACTTCAGATGAAGGAGTCATCTCACAGTCGCGGGCTTGAGGACATCATTGAAGAGCTAAGGACGTACCTTGCAAAGAAAAGGTAATTTTGTACTTTTGAAGTTTTGATAGTTACTTGCATTGGCTTCCATCTTAAATTGAAGCAAGTATACGGTCAGCGCATAGTCCGGTTATGATTTCTGTCCATGCAAATGGGAAGTTTGGCTGTTTGCTTGTTTGTACATTCGTGATAAAGATTTGAAAGTAATAAAGAGAAAACTAGAGTAAAAATAATAAAAGATAACACTAGAGCAGAAACACATCTTTGGGAAACTGATTGAAGTTCTGTACGTTCTTTTATTCTGTGTAAACAATATCTAAGATGTTCATTCGAAGAGGCTAGTAGGGGGAAAGAAAAGACAAGATACAGGTCTCATAGGAGAAAAATGCTAGGTGGCTAAAAATCACAGACCTAAAATGGCTAAATGTTCGGTTAGGCATTATTATTCAGGCTTGAATATTATATGATATTGACCATGCTAATTCAGCAATATCAGCAACAGATTTTCCTACATCTAGTTCGTATTAATTTTTAATGCTTTAGTCTTCAACTTATAGCCATATTATGCTACAATATAATCTGTGCAAACATTTCAACAGGTACCTTATTGTAGTTGATGATTTGTGGGATCAATCAGCATGGAAAACTATTAAATGTGCTTTTCCAAAAAATGGAAATGGGAGTAGAATAATAGTAACGACTCGAGTGGAAGATGTGGCTAGCATGGCATGTAACAATGAACCTGAGTGCATTTACACAATGAAGCCCCTCAGTGAACAGAACTCAAGGAAGTTATTCTCCAACAGAGTATTTGGGTCCAAAGATGATTTTCCAAAGCATCTTGAAGGCGTCGCGGCTGAGATTCTGAAGAAGTGTCGTGGATTGCCACTTGCAATTATCACTATAGCTAGCCTATTAGCTACTCAACGGGGATTAAGGAAACACTGGGAGAGCATAAGGAATTCTTTGGGTGCCCAATCTGCTACAAATCCTTCATTGGAAGAGATGAATAGTATATTAAATCTTAGCTACACGCATCTTCCTCTTCATCTCCAAAGATGTTTTTTATACCTTGGTATGTATCCTGAGGACCACATCATATGGCGAGATGATCTGATTAAACAATGGATAGCTGAAGGCTTCGTCAGCTATTTGCATGGGCTAGATTTGGTGGATGTTGGCCGGAGTTATTTCAATGAGCTCGTCAATAGAAGCATGATTCTTCCATCAGAAACTAAGTATGGAGAGGTGTTGTCCTGCACAGTACACGACTTGATGCTTGATTTGATCCTAAGAAAGTGCCAGGAAGATAAATTTTTAAGTGTGGCATACAATTCTGAAGACATGACAAGGCTGTTGCATGGCCGCAAGTACAAGGTTCACCGACTATCCCTGAGCACCATGACTGTTGGTGGAGCACCATATGACATGGCTATTTCTGCTAGCTTATCACAACTCCGTTCACTTATACTGTTCAACAACCCCATATCTTCGTGGTCCAGGTGGTCCAACTATCGCAAGAACCCCATACCTCCTCATTTGTGGTCCAAGTATCTCAGGGTGCTCATCATTACTAAGGGGGAGGAGACAGTTGACCTCGCCGCCATTAGCCAATTGTTTCAGCTGAAGTATCTGATGGTTAGAGTTTACGGGACTATTTTGGGGAATGGGAATCTAGAGTTTGGCCATGGGAAGATAGAGCTCCCTACCGAACTTGGTAAGCTTGTTAACTTGGAGACGCTGGACTTGGAAACATGCAGACTGATGAAGAGCATCCCTTCAGATATAGTTCATTTGCCCTTCCTGTCCTATCTGGTGCTTCCAGATACAGGTCTGCCTGAAGGTATCAAGAATGTGAAATCATTGCGCACTCTGCGAGGGTTTGACCTGAAAAAGAGCTCGCTGGACTCTATTATGGGTCTCAGCGGGCTGATTAATCTGAGGGAACTGAAAACAACATTATATCATACGGGGTTGCCGAAAGTTAATGCTTTGGTATGCTCCATTGGAAAGCTCGACAACCTCGAATGTCTGTGCATCGATGACCAGCATCATGATTATGAGATTGACCAGCAGCATCTGTACTCATTATCCAAACCTTTTAAATGTATGGAGCAACTTGACTTGTCATGTTTGCAGTTCAGCAGAGTTCCGGTATGGATGGGTGATCTCCATTATCTGCGCTTCCTTGAGCTGTTTGTTGAAGAATCGTCAACTGAGGAGTTTCATCTTCTTGGAGAGCTTCCCTCCCTCGCCCACCTCTTATTCAGAGCGCATCAAATCCCTGATGAAAGAGCTATACTAGGCACAGGACTATTCCCGGCTCTGGAGTACTTTTATTTCCTTTCTAGGAAAGACACTGCTGCGTACCTGGAGTTCGAGGCAGGAGCTATGCCCAACTTACGAAAACTCATTCTCAGTGGGATCAACATGGGCGGCGCTGCACCGGTTGGCATGGAGCACCTGCTACACCTCCAGGGGATCAAACTGTATGGTGCCTCCGATGATCTCATGTCCGCGTTCAAGGAGGCCTCGCTGGTGCACCCAAACCACCCTTCCGTTAAGTAGGGCATGTGAGTTTGTGTTCACAGATTGCTCAGCGGACCCTCTAGTTAATTGTTTTGCGTGCTCTGAAATTAATTTGGTATGTAATGTTAGCTACCCAGCTGGATACAATTCCTGCGTGCATCATACTATGTGATTGTCGACCAGGAATTTTTTGTGATCGTACTTGGGACTGCTGGTGCGGCCGCTGCATCTTTGTGCAAAACAGATTTTATTTTTCTTGACAGCTAATGATGTTTATGAACTTGATTTTACTTATTAGCAGCCTGCCTCCTGTAGAATAAGCTCATTTTGCTTTTAGGCAGAATCTCGTCAAGTGAAAGCTCGTGCAATCTAATTGTTTTGTTAGATATATGTAGACTTTGTATACACCTTGTATTGTATCCTTTGGTACCTTTATATAATGAGATAGCCACACCCCGTTTAGGGTGTCGAGCAGTTTCCCAAAACATATGTTTTACATGGTATCAGATTAGGATTACGATGTCTTCCGTTGCACCCGCCGCCGCCGTCGCGCCAGCCCTCGCCGCCGCCACCGTCGCTGCTCCGCCTCCTGCGCCGGCCTCTGCCGTCGCTCCGTCGTCGCCGTTCCTTGCCTCGCGGCCCCTAGCTGCTGCCCGGTGGTATAACCAGCCTCTGGTGGAGTCCCTTCGGGTTCTCAGATCGGATCGGGTGGGCAAGGCGATCTGCCTCTGCCGGTCTCTTCCGGCGGCCCGTCTTCCTCGACCAACGCCTTTGCGCCGCCGCCCTACCAGGGTCCGCCGCCCGCATATGGCGCCGCCCCTGCATCGACCTACGGCGCCCCGCACCCGAACGGTGCCTCGGCGTCGGCCTACGGCCCTCCGTGGTATGGCGCCCCTGCATCAGCCTATGGTGCTCTGCCACTGCCACCGTCCGCCTGGCCGTCGCCTCCCTACGGCGCGCCGCCCTCGCAGCCCTACGCGGCGCCGTCGCACCCTCAACCTTATGCGGCGCCGCCGCCTTCACTGCCCTATGGGGCAGCGCCTCCTCCGTCACCTGGGGACCCATCATCGCCGTACGCTGGTGTTGTGCCCGGCTATGGCGCACCTCTGGCGATCGCCCCACACCAGGAGACGGATCCATCGATGGGTCTCTACGCGCCACCGACACAGGATCGTGCTGCGGTGCCATCGCCGTTTTATTTCTCGCAGCTCCTTCCGGTGAAGCTCACCCCAGACAATTACCTATCGTGGCGGGGTCAGGTGCTTCCTCTTCTCCGCAGCCGCTACTTGGAGGGGTACGTCGACGGCTCCACCCCGTGCCCGCCGCCATATCATCCAGCTCATCACGTGTGGGTGGCCCAGGATCAGACAATCCTCTCCGCCATCCAGTCGTCGCTCACTCCGAATGTCGTCGCTGGTCATCTTCGCCGCGACGTCTAGGGATGCTTGGTCGGCGCTTCACAGCAGCTTCGCCTCTCAATCTCAGGTGCGTGCTCACTCTATACGCACCGAGTTGGGGAGACCAAGCTTGATGGGTGACGGCCTCAGCATCACGGACTACTTCAACAAAATGACTGGTCTCGCCGACACGTTGGCCTCGATCGGTCAGCCGCTTGGTGATGAAGACTTCACCACCCATGTACTCAACGGCCTTGATGACGACTATGATAATCTCATCGAGAACTTCCATGGTCGCGAGGCTCCACTTCCACCACGTGAGCTCTATGCGCGCCTTCTTGGCCGCGAACAGTGCATCAAGGCGCGCCGTGCCTCCCCGAGTTTTGTCTCCGCCAATGCCGCGACCCGCGGCAAACCCCAGAAGCCGTCGCCGCTTGGTGGTAAAATGGCGGCCCGGCCTCAGCAGGCTCAGCGGGGCGCGGCGCCATCCATCACCGGCGGAAGTCGGTCAGTTGCTTGTTGTCCCTACTGCGGTGCTCAGTAGGCCTGCCAGCTGTGTGGTATTGAGCGTCACATTGCCTCCCGCTGTCATCGACGCTTCAAGCAAGATTTTCTAGGCCTGGGCAACAATGGCAAATGGAATGATAAGCACGCCGCCGCCGCGGTGACGAGTCATGAGCACGGGCGCACTCCGTCCTACTCCATTGATCCTACGTGGTATATGGATACGGGAGCTACAAACCACCTCACCAGCGAGATGGGCAAGTTCTCCGCTCAAGAACCATATCATGGTCATGATCAGGTGCACACCGCCAATGGAGCAGGTACGCGCATCTCCCATGTTGGTCAGGCCTCTCTTCTTGCACACAATTTTCAAAAACGGCATCTTTCCAATGTTCTTCGAGTTCCCTCTGCTACGTGTAGTTTGTTGTCTATTCCTCAACTTACTCGTGATAATAATGTCCTTGCTGAGTTTCATCCTTTTCGTTTCTTTATAAAGGATAGGGACACAAGGGCCGTTCTGCTTAGTGGTCGTCTTCGCCATGGCCTGTATGCACTTGACACACCGCCCACACCTCCTATGCAGTTTTCTCCGTAGGCGTTCAACGGTGTTCGTGTGTCGCCTACGCACTGGCATGCGCGCTTTGGTCACCCTGCTACTCCTATAGTTTGTCATGTGTTGCATCGTCATGAACTACCAGTTGTGCCCAATAAAACTGCTGAAACTATCTGTGATGCCTGTCAGCAGGGCAAGAGTCACCAACTTCCATTTTCAGAGTCTAGTCGTGTTGTGAAACATCCTCTTGAGCTTGTGTTTTCTGATGTATGGGGTCATGCCCAAACGACTGTTAGTGGCCACAATTATTATGTCAGCTTTATTGATGCTTATAGTCGGTTTACTTGGTTGTATCTTATTAAGCGCAAGTCTGATGTGTTTGATATTTTCATTCAGTTTCAAGCACACGTTGAGCGTCTCCTTAAGCAAAAAATTATTCATGTTCAATCCGACTAGGGGGGGGGG